CTTTTCTTTTAAAAAATTGGTTATTTTGTTTTACTTAATTATATATTAATTAATTTTAAAAGAGAAATAGTATTAGATAAAAATAAGCTTAATAATGTTTAAGATAGGACCAAGCGTAACTTGTTTGGTCCATCTGGGCAAGACATATCAGCTAGATTAATTTAAAACAGTTATTTTTACAAGTCTTCACAACCCTGATTCTTAGTTTCGTTCATTGTGTTTAATTTACCTCTTCTTCTTTCTTTTTCTTTTTTTTTCTTTTTTTTTCTTTTTTTTTCTTTTTTTTAAAAGAAAAACAAAAATACTCTGCACAAAAACAAGTTTCCATATAACTCAACGAAATTTTTGTTGTTCCCAGGACTTTGCTTATAAAGAAAAACTATGTTTTTGTTTTGTATAATAATATTATATCATGGCCGTTATAATATTGTTAAAGTATATTATGACTTAGATATTATTTGTATTAGAATTATAATTCATTATAATCTTTTAAAGTGAATTAAAAAAATAATATAAATTATTTTTATTTTATTTTTTAAAACAAATGTGGGACTCGTAAATATTTTATAATCTCATATTTATTCACTATTTCAATCGCAACTGATTAAAAGAAAGTAAATAGTTTTTAATTTCATATTTATTCACTATTTTAATCGCAACTGACTAAAAGAAAAATAAAAATAAAAAGAGAAAAGAAGTATGATTGAGAGAAAAAATAGAAAAAGTGAAATTAAGAGTGAGTGGACATGAGACAAAATTAATATTTTTGATAAATAAGAATTTAAAATAAAAAATTAGAGAATACAAATAAATAAAAATTATAGGTGTAAAGGAAATTAAAAATGAATAAGAAAATAATAATAATAGATAGATAAGTAAAAGTAAATAATAATAATAAATAAAAATTATAGGTGTAATGGAAACTAAAAATGAATAAGAAAATAATAATAGATAGATAAGTAAAAGTAAATAATAATAATAATAATAATAATAATAATAATAATAATAATAATAATAATAATAATAATAATAATAATAATAATAATAATAAAAAACTAAAATGAGAGATGAGTGAAACTCGTGCACCTTTTTGAAGGGGAGGAAATAAGGTTATTTAAAAGAAGGGTGTATATTTTATAAGGGGTGTGGGAATAGCAACCCCGTGTTCTTCTCTGTATTGGGCCTTTCCTTTATACGGTCTTCGTTTTAGCGCTGACAAAGAAGACGTTTCCCCATCACGAGGACTTGCTTCAGATCCCAATTTTCCAACACATTCTTCCCTTCGTCATGAATAATACCATTGCCTCCATCCTCCAACTTCATTCCCCTTCCCCTTCCTTCAGATTCCGCAGATAGAGACACGAACACGCAGAGGCACCTCTCTCTCTCTCTGCATTATGGAATCTCCGTTTCCGCTTCTGCTCCTCCTCTTCCTCTGCCTCTTTCCCACTCCTTCCTTCTCCATTGACAATTTCCACCAAGCGTGAGTATTACTAATCTCTCCATTTCTTTCGCTTTCTTCCCTATTCAACTTGCATTCATCTCTCTCTCATATTTCCAAGATCTCGCTACCGGTAACCAGTGGACCATCCCAAACTTTGCTTTTCTTCACCTTTTAGATCCTCGCTATGCTTTCTTTCTTTTCCTCATTCGTTACTCGACGTCAATCTAACACAATGGTAAAACTGTTTCATACTCGCGGAAAGGGGTGATGGGATGGATTTTTGGCAGTAACGTATGAGATATGTTGATTATACGTTGACTTCTGGGCTTGTTGAATAATTCAGAACGTGAAAAGAGGAAAAAGAGACACTATAGACTTACGGCCGCAGCGACAGAGAGAGCATTTTCAAATTGATATGTGTAGATTTAGTGCGTTGTTGTCTTTACACTAGAGTTCTGCCAACAATAACATTGTAGTCTGTGTGTGTGTATATATATATATATATATACTTGTTTGAATGTTTAGCCAATATTTTGGGTCTGGGACTCGTTTTGTTGTTATTGTTAATGATTTATGCAAGTACTGAGGAACTTTTCTATGATGCTTCTATTGTAATTCTTAGTCTGTTTGACCTCCTCTAGGGTGTTGTACTGCAGAGTTTCTTTGTTTTCTTTATGTGAAGTTCGATTTTCCTTTTGGTTTCAAGTTGGGGTGGAGTTTTACTTATTCTTGCTATTTTTGTATATGCAGCTTTCCCATTGTGGAACCTGATCCTGGTCACACAAAACTTCGTCTTTCAAGAGAAGGTTTGGAGGCTATCGAGAGAATAACCAACCCCATTGCAGCAGTGGCAGTATGTTTGACTGAAACTTTAGAGCTTGCTTTATCCATTTTTAGGATTCCACATCTGTTTTTAATATGATTTTTCATGAACTGATGTTCTGATTGATTCATCATTGAGGGATTAGCAAATATTACGTGGATTAGTGTTATCCATGTTGACAATTCCTTACTACTACGGTTGTCACTTAATGCTGATTACTATGTGAACACTTGCTCTATTTTGTTAGTTCTAACACTTGATAGGTAGCAGTAGGCCAGCAATTGATTCAACTTGAAACATGAACGCAAAGTTAAAGGCATTTGACCTTCTACAAGTATTTTCACACTGTGGAACTTTCGATATTTCATAATCCAAGATGATCATTTTCTTTGCCGAAAGAGGAGACCAAAAACTTGGTCAAAGATATTAAAATTTATGGAAGGTTAGAAAAGTACACGTGTTGACGATCCAAACTCTCCCCAGCTCCACATAATGCGAGTCTTCATATTTGTTCTCTCAACTAGTTTCAGTTTTTCACTTCCTCTTCAAATCAGGATCATCAGATCATATTATTTGAGAAAGGGACACAAAATCAATCATATGAAGACCCGCAGTAATTTATTTAGGGGTCCATTAATTTTGCTAGTGTCTCTCTCTTATGACATGAATACATTACATGACCCTCCCATCTTAGTAAGTAATTTGAGAGAATCCTGATAATTTTTCGTTCAAAGGATGTTTAAATAATTTAAAGGTTAGATAAGTGTAAATCTACCAGTTCACGAGTGAAGCCTGATTTTGTGACGAGGAGTTTGTCATATTTCTTTCTGTTCCCCCCTATTGTATTTTTCTCCTTTATTGAAGTTTTAACCTATGTAACTGCTTCTGTAATTGATTATTATTTTTTTAATATTATCAGTAATCCCACTTTCATTAAATTGATTAGTGATTCATATTGAAGTAAACTTGTCCAGTATTAAGAAATGTTATTACATCACCGTCTACCACTTTATGGGCTCAGCTTTTACCTTTTTATGGTGTTTTTTATCAGGTGATTGGGCCGTATCGATCTGGAAAATCTTTTTTGCTTAATCAACTTCTCTCTCTTTCTTGTTACGAAGGTGTCTCCTTTATAGCTACTAGATTTTGCCCTCAATACCAAATTTTGGGATTGTTTTGGTGTAAATGTTTGGTTGAAAAATTTAACTTGATATTTTTTGGTTAGGGTTCGGTGTAGGGCACATGCGTGACACTAAGACAAAAGGTAGATAGAGTTGCCATTTTTCTCATGCTATGCTTAATTGGATATAATATTTTACAATATATTTTAATCTTTTGGTTTACTTATTCAGGAATATGGGTTTGGGGAACACCTATAGATTTGGACATTAATGGAGTAAGAACTTCTGTCTTTTACCTTGACACTGAAGGATTTGAAAGTGTTGGGAAGTCCAATGTATATGATGATCGGTAATTGCTTATGATCATGCATTCTGTTTTCTGTGTTGAATGGTATATGATTTTCTGTTTGCTTTCTCTTATGTTTTCTTTTGCAGGATATTTGCTCTGGCAACTGTCTTGAGTTCTGTGCTTATATATAATTTGCCTGAGACGGTTAGTTATTGCTGTCATCTCCTAATTAATTGTGAAAAATAGAATAGTGGACAAAACTTACCGCACTATCAATAATTTGATACTAATTCTAATATCATAAATAGTACTTTGATATGCAACATTGGTTATTGTTAGGGCTGTTAGCTGTTTTTCAGTAATTGATAGGATTTTTATACACCTGACACAAAGTAAAGCTAGAAATGACCCAATTCCCCGGATTCAGCTGTTATTTTGAATAGATCACCAGCTTGAAATCCCTCGTCCGTCAATAAGCCACTCCTCTAAAATAAACCTTACTATTCCAAAGTCCTGTAAAGAAACCCTAAGCCATAGGCTAGAAAATCTTATAGAATACTCTCGAATCCCAGAAGATGCCCAAATAGAAAGCTCCTTACCACCCTTACTAAGTCCATATAATGTCTTTAGAAGAAACAAAGGGAGATTTTCCTGGAGCGTAAAAAACCTGATATCCACTCCCAGACCAGGAGTAAAAGAAATTATCCAAACCACAAAAATGGATAATTGTGCTCTCAATGCTACTTCGGCAGAACAGTACGTAGATTTGGAGATAGAACCTTCTCTCATCAAACTCTGGCAAAGAGAAGGATATGTAGCTCTTCATTTTGGAGCAGTCAGACTAGTGCTTACCCTTCATGGGAGAAAAGGATTACCGGTGACCGCTAGAGTCTCTCTAATAGACTCAACGTTCCAAAAATATGAACATGCTGTTATTGGAACAGTCTTGACTACGTTAAATTCAGGAAGTGTGGTTTTAACCATGTTTCCTAACTTCTGTGTACAACTAAAAGATCCAACTCTTCTAAAGAGATTTCGAGTACAAATCCAGATTGTCGGAGCTCCTCAGGATGAAAGTGCGATGACAGCTACTCTTCATCACCAGTTGATCTTCAGAATCCAAGATCATTGTTATGATCTTCCAACAGAATCGCCATTTGCAGAGCATGCTCTAATGGTGATCTCAAACACGGAAGAACATACTCCTTCCATAATCCAAATTCCCGACATGCATTCCTAGAGACGAACTCGAACAACTAATCCCAAGAGAATGGATTAGTAATTATGAAAATTTCAAGAAGAATCGAGTCACCAATCATCAAGATGGATCATGCATTCAAAAGACTTCCGGATGGAACGGTGAAGACCATCTTTAAAAAAGAAAATGACGAAGGATCATCATCTTCAACGGTTTTCACAACCATGATGATTACTTTGGGAGATAAAGAAAGAAAGATTCCTGTACATTCCTTCAGACCAGATGGAAAACCCATTTATTCTGATAAAATAAATGGACACTTTATGTGGGATGTGAATCCAGATACGTGTGATCCAGGATGCCCTTGCACAGAAACATCCGATGACAGTGATGATGACGATGACGATTCAGAAGAAGAAGGAGATAGTGATGATGATGATAAGGATTTCTACAATCCTCCTCCTGATCCTGATAAACAAAGAATGGTGATTTCTCGCCAACCACTGCCAATATACGAGAAAATCTTGAAGGCCTTGAAAGAAAACTATGAGCACTACTACCAAGAGAAAATGTCAAAAGCACCTCAACCAATACAAACCCAAAGTTGTATGATGTTGTCTTCAGAAGAAGAATTCCCTAGTCTGAGACGAGCAAATCCTCAAGAAGAAACCGTAATGAAGCCTTTCATTTATAGTAAAGAAGTGACAGCAGAAGGATCCAAGAAACCTATCTCTCAGGCAGAAGAAGTACTAAATTGGCAGACAAAAAATGCTTTAGCCCAGAATAGCCTACTACAAAAGATTGAAAGAAAAATGGATAGAATAGAATTGTCCATAGAAAAGGAGATTGGAGGCATGAATTCCAGGTTACAAAAGCATTATGCAGAATTGAAGGAGAAGATAGAAAGACTTGAAGAAGAGACAAGGAAAATCAAAGAAACAAGGAGATTCAACAACCTGCTCATTGAAAAAGAAAGAGAGTTACAAAAAACAAGGGAGCAGTATGAAGAACTTATCCAATATGTAGGAGAGAAAAAGAAGATTCCCATCTTCGAAGATGAAATATCTGCAAGAAGGAAGGACTTACTATTTGGGCATCTTCTGGGATTCGAGAGTATTCTATAAGATTTTCTAGCCTATGGCTTAGGGTTTCTTTACAGGACTTTGGAATAGTAAGGTTTATTTTAGAGGAGTGGCTTATTGACGGACGAGGGATTTCAAGCTGGTGATCAGTCATGGTGGTTTGGGTTCTCTCCTTACTCATCCTTCTTAACTATTATACTATGTTCCCCGATGAAAAGAATAAATAAAGGAATAGTAGGCAACAGTTAGGCTCTGATACCACTGTGCCGGGAGCTCTGCATATCTTTAATATAATCATTAAACCTTTCACATGCGAGACTTCAGTATTCCAACTTACTTTCTCAAGCACAGCTAATTAGTTTAACAATCATATCAAAAATAGCAGAGACCGAAAATGGATCTGGATCACATAAACTTTCTGATGTACAGGATCCTCATATGAGGCAAGTACAGAGCATACTTATTTATGCTAGATTTTACTATTCCTTTATTCTTCATCTCACATGAGATAGATACGTGGCGTTGTTGTGACTTATCCCTGTGAAGGGAGTCTGCAGAGAATAGGCATGAAGGCCTCGCTCTGTAATTAGGTATGAAACCAACAGAGGTTCTCCACTTTTCCAGCCAATATATCTTCATTGATTTAGAGGAACAATAGCATAATAGAAAAGAAAGACTTTCAGGAGAGAAAACTAAGAACTTAGAAACTCATAAGTGAGGGAAACACTCAAATTTTATTTCTGGGTTTTTCTTCGATATCTTACAAAGATGGGGTACCTCCCTTTTATAACTAAAGGAAGGCATGTACAGACAAACACTCATAAATAATTACATTCTTTTTCTTCCAACATTATCTCTACTTTATATCACATTTGTTATCTTGTCGATAACTTTATTTCACACTAAATAACTTTATGTCACATAGGTCTTCTCACACCGAATATCTTTATATCACATCATTTGAAAATGGGTTCATGACTTGGTGACAGATTTGGATCATCTGAGTCAGAGTCTTCCGTGTCCATTATTAAGTCTTCATCATTATCTTCTTTCATCATGATAATTTGTCCTTTAATATCTGCCGATTCCATGTGAATTTGTCTACTTCCTTGGATATTGACAAGTGGCATTACTCTTTCTTCTTGATCATGGAAAGGTCCAGAGTCTCCATCTGGCTTGCAGATTATATCCAAAGGCTTCAGATGTGAACACGTGGAATTTTTGTTGATCATTTCCGAAAATGTTCCATTGAGTCTGTGCAGTTCTATTATTAACTCACTTTGATAGAATGGAGTTTGATCCTGTTGAGTAAAGATCTTTAACCTTGGAAATGTTGACCAAATTCTGACTTGATTTTGCGTCCATAGTTCATGTGATTCTGGATGTGCAAAATATGGCCTATGAATTATAGCAACTGTGATGAAGTATTCTGAGTTCCAACCTGTCATTTGTGTCCTGGTTAGCTCTTCATTGATGGCGTTTATCCACAGAGAAATTGGTTGATACCAGCTTAAAAACTTAATTAATAAACTGGAACAATCTTCTTTCAGCATCTTTAACATCTTTTTTGTTGGGAAGATAATTGGATAATGATGCAAGATTGAGACACACCATAAGTACCATTGATCTTCTTCTGTGAATTCTTCTCCAATAAGAATAGCAAAGATATTCAGAAAAGGAGTATCTGGGTTGAACCAATTTTGTTTTGGAGGTATCTGGTGGTTTTGTAAAGACCTTGCTAGATATGAAAACATATTTTGTCTAGCAAACTGTTGCAGGGTTGCAGGAGTTTTTATGAAATCAAACCTTATCTCAGGTGGAAATGGATTGTGTGGATAAGGGTTAGAAGAGGAAGGTGGGTTTTGCATGAGGATAAGTGGGTAGGAACTGGTTGAAGAAATGATATGGATTGATGAAGGCTTTGGTCGACTCAGATAATCAGGGACAATGTTGGTATTTCCTTTTATGTGTTTGACTGTGAAATCATATCGGGAAAACCATTCTTTCAGGCGGAGTATCTGAGGGTTTGGTGGTACTCTGTTTTTGAAATCAAGCATTTTAGGAAATGCAGAGTTGTCTAAATGAACTTCGAATTGATGTCCTCTGAGATGGAAATCAAATTTTTGAATTCCATATTTGACTGCCAGAGTTTCTTTGAACACTGTGTGATAGTGTATTTCTGTTTCTTTGAATGCTCCGCTGGCATGTCCATAGTAGAATTTCTTGTTTTCAATTTCTTCTATCAATACCGCACTCCAAAAATGGTCACTAGCATCTGTTTGCAATATTCTTTTTCCTTCTCCAGGAATTTTTAAAGGTGGTGGATTCTGAGAAATCCTTTTCAGAATTTTGACTGCTTCTGTTTGTTCTGTTCCCCATGGAGGAGGATTCTTCTTCAACATTTTTGAAAGTTTGGAGGTGTAGATTGCTATATTTGGAATGAAGTCTCTTACATAGTTCAGAATTCCTAGGAATTGTTGTATTTCTTTTGTTGTCATATTCTCATCTGGGAATTTTGGCAAGTTTTCCACTATGTGTGGTTGTGGGACATATCTTCCATGAAAGAAATGCATTCCAAGGAAATCTATTTCTTTAACTCCAACCTCAGATTTCTTTGCTGAGAGCATTACTCCGTATTTGTAACAAAGATCATGGAATTCTTGAAGCAAAAGTTTGTGATTAGCTTCTGTGTATGAAAATAGCAGAATATCATCAATGTAAATTAGAGCACTGTGAAGGATGGGTTCAAAGATTCGAACCATGGCTTTTTGGAAGAGAGATGGAGCTACTTTTAATCCAAAAGGAAGGACAGTCCATTGGTAATGGGCATTTGGAATACTGAAAGCTGTTTTGGGTCTATCTTTGGGGTCAAGGCCCAATTGCCAAAAGCCTGATTTTAAGTCAAACTTTGAGAAGAAATAGGCATCTTTGATGTAAGAGTGAAGAGAATAGATCTTGGGTAATGGAAACTTGTCATCTTTGATGAAAAGGTTTAATGATCTATAATCAATAACAAGTCTCTTCTTTTGTCGAATTTGTTCTGACCTTTTGTTGACATAAAAGGCTGGACAGGCCCAATCTGATTTGGTAGGCTCAATGAGACCTTGTTCTAATAGTTGTTGACATTCTTCTTGGGCTGCTTTGTAATCAGATGGACTCATTCCTGGATGGCTTGCTTTTGTGGGATTGATATCTTCACTCTTCTTGAAAGGAAGAGTAACAAAGAACTCTTTACGTTTCCACAAAGGATTTGGATGGGAGAAAAGACTATGGCTTTCTGCACATAATTTGAGTAACTTATTTCTGATTTCTTCATATCCAGGAGGAACATCTGCTAATGTGAATAAATTTGAAACTGGCACAAAAGGTTTTGTCAATCTTTTGAATTTGATACCATCAGACAATATCTGCAGCTTCCGAATTTGAATGAGAACATCCCTTCCTATCAGAACATCCTTTCCATGTTTATCACTTCCAATTACCTTTATCCAGACTGTACAGCCAGGAAAAAACTGAATTCCTATCTTTTGTTTGGTCATCAGTGTTGTCTGGAATATTTTTCCATTTGCTGCTCTGAACTTATGGATATTATTCGTCCATAGTTTGGCTGGAAGAATAATAGGATTCATCATTGTCCTTGTAGAACCAGTATCAATAAATCCTATAGCTTTAATTGGAACATCATACTTGGAGGGGAAAATGGATATTTCTGTATTGGGAAGAGAAGGGATTTCTGGTTCTGTGGTATTGACTTCTTGGATTTTTAACACAGGAAAATGTTCTTCACTGCTAGATTCTTCTGAACTTTCTTCTGTATCAGCAATGGCAAAAACTGTTTGGTTATCTGGTTCTGTTTGCTCCTCATATAATGATTCTAAATCATCTTCTTTCTGGGTCAAGAAGAGTTCTATCAGCTTCGCAAATTTTTCTCTTTTATTTGGACAATTTCTTGCAAAGTGTCCTTTCTACTTGCAGATATGGCATCTTAGATTGTTTCCTTTTCCTCTGAATGGTTTGTTTTTGAAGAACCTGTATTTCTTTCCTTTCTTCAACTTGAATTTGGCTTTGGGAGGAATTCTTTTTGATTTTTTGTTTTTGCAATAACAACCATCTTCTTTGCACTGGATTTGCAAATATTTTTTCTTGCAAGTTTTCCTGTATTTCTTCTGGTCTGATGCCATTTTGCTGAACATTTTTTGCTGACTGCATAACTTTTCTTTTGCGGCAATGCAAGTCTGGTAAATTTCTCCCATAGTCATATGCAAGATCTCTTTATTTGTCTGTTGGAGTATCCTCCACATTTCATCTTGTAATTCTTCGGGAAGTGAACTTACAAAAGTGTTTTTGAGACTAGGATCATTGACTCCATTGAGCTGATAAAACCTTTGACTCATTCTCAGATAATGTCTGTCAAGATCTTTCTTTTCCAAAGAACAACACTTCATTTCAAAGAATTCTCTTCTGGACTCTTGATCCAGCAATGTTGCATTCCCCAGAAAATGAAATTGTAATGCTCCAATAACTTCTTCAATAGTAGAATTATGAAGACTTTCTTGGTTGACTGTTCCCAGGGTGATATACCATTCTTTCAGAATTCCTGTCATGCCTGCACAAAATTCTTCTATAACTTTGTATCTGTCTGTTCCTGGGTTCACCATTTTAGTATCTAACCAAGCTTTGAAGTCTAGGAACTTTTTTCTCCATTGAGATGGGGGAATGTTATCAATCGTGAATAACATGTTGTTGGTTGGATGTGGAGTATTAACTTCTTGATTATGTAGTCTCGTCCTTTCAGCAAAAGGTTGATCTGTATCATTTGCCATGAAAGTATGGTTCACTTCTGCTTCTTCTGTTTCAGTGTTTTCTTCATAGGATTCTACTGATTCTTCATCAGAAGAAGGTATTGAATCATCTGAGCTGATGTGGTGGATTGTGTATTGAGAATAAGGGTCCTGGGCATCTTGGAAAATCTTCTCATCAGAAGAGATTTCTGCCTTTTTTGAAGAAGGTTCAGGTATCGGTTCAGGAGAGGTTTTTCTTTCTTCAGTTTCTTTCTCTTTTCTTTTTTCTTTAAACCAATCTCTATTTCTTGGTGAAGAGTCTTTCGGGGGGAAAAGTGGAGTTGGTTTAAGAGATTGTCTTGAAATTGTTGGAAATATTTTTGATGGCCTTACATAGTAAGGTTCATCTTCGAAGATGGGAATCTTCTTTTTCTCTCCTACATATTGGATAAGTTCTTCATACTGCTCCCTTGTTTTTTGTAACTCTCTTTCTTTTTCAATGAGCAGGTTGTTGAATCTCCTTGTTTCTTTGATTTTCCTTGTCTCTTCTTCAAGTCTTTCTATCTTCTCCTTCAATTCTGCATAATGCTTTTGTAACCTGGAATTCATGCCTCCAATCTCCTTTTCTATGGACAATTCTATTCTATCCATTTTTCTTTCAATCTTTTGTAGTAGGCTATTCTGGGCTAAAGCATTTTTTGTCTGCCAATTTAGTACTTCTTCTGCCTGAGAGATAGGTTTCTTGGATCCTTCTGCTGTCACTTCTTTACTATAAATGAAAGGCTTCATTACGGTTTCTTCTTGAGGATTTGCTTGTCTCAGACTAGGGAATTCTTCTTCTGAAGACAACATCATACAACTTTGGGTTTGTATTGGTTGAGGTGCTTTTGACATTTTCTCTTGGTAGTAGTGCTCATAGTTTTCTTTCAAGGCCTTCAAGATTTTCTCGTATATTGGCAGTGGTTGGCGAGAAATCACCATTCTTTGTTTATCAGGATCAGGAGGAGGATTGTAGAAATCCTTATCATCATCATCACTGTCTCCTTCTTCTTCTGAATCGTCATCGTCATCATCACTGTCATTGGATGTTTCTGTGCAAGGGCATCCTGGATCACACGTATCTGGATTCACATCCCACATAAAGTGTCCATTTATTTTATCAGAATAAATGGGTTTTCCATCTGGTCTGAAGGAATGTACATGAATCTTTCTTTCTTTATCTCCCAAAGTAATCATCATGGTTGTGAAAACCGTTGAAGATGATGATCCTTCGTCATTTTCTTTTTTAAAGATGGTCTTCACCGTTCCATCTGGAAGTCTTTTGAATGCATGATCCATCTTGATGATTGGTGACTGATTCTTCTTGAAATTTTCATAATTACTAATCCATTCTCTTGGGATTAGTTGTTCGAGTTCGTCTCTAGGAATCTGTCTGGGAATTTGGATTATGGAAGGAGTATGTTCTTCTGTGTTTGAGATCACCATTAGAGCATGCTCTGCAAATGGCGATTCTGTTGGAAGATCATAACAATGATCTTGGATTCTGAAGATCAACTGGTGATGAAGAGTAGCTGCCATCGCACTTTCATCCTGAGGAGCTCCGACAATCTGGATTTGTACTCGAAATCTCTTTGGAAGAGTTGGATCTTTTAGTTGTACACAGAAGTTAGGAAACATGGTTAAAACCACACTTCCTGAATTTAACGTAGTCAAGACTGTTCCAATAACAGCATGTTCATATTTTTGGAACGTTGAGTCTATTAGAGAGACTCTAGCGGTCACCGGTAATCCTTTTCTCCCATGAAGGGTAAGCACTAGTCTGACTGCTCCAAAATGAAGAGCTACATATCCTTCTCTTTGCCAGAGTTTGATGAGAGAAGGTTCTATCTCCAAATCTACGTACTGTTCTGCCGAAGTAGCATTGAGAGCACAATTATCCATTTTTGTGGTTTGGATAATTTCTTTTACTCCTGGTCTGGGAGTGGATATTAGGTTTTTTACGCTCCAGGAAAATCTCCCTTTGTTTCTTCTAAAGACATTATATGGACTTAGTAAGGGTGGTAAGGAGCTTTCTATTTGGGCATCTTCTGGGATGCGAGAGTATTCTATAAGATTTTCTAGCCTATGGCTTAGGGTTTCTTTACCGGACTTTGGAATAGTAAGGTTTATTTTAGAGGAGTGGCTTATTGACGGACGAGGGATTTCAAGCTGGTGATCAGTCATGGTGGTTTGGGTTCTCTCCTTACTCATCCTTCTTAACTATTATACTATGTTCCCCGATGAAAAGAATAAATAAAGGAATAGTAGGCAACAGTTAGGCTCTGATACCACTGTGCCGGGAGCTCTGCAATCATTTCTCTCTATTAATTGTATCTCTGAATCTGTATTTTTATCTCCTATAAATAAGAGAACACAAGAAGATGATTTGAAGCTCTCAAAATCAGTTCTTTATTTTCTTTTTTCTATTTCAAGTTGGTATTAGAGCGGGTTCATCCCGCTCTGCCTGTCTCTGTTTTTTTTCTAGCATTAATCGCCGTTCGCCACCGTCCATCGTTGTTCGCCGCCGGTGCAGTACTTCTCCGGCACCATTTCTCTCTCTGACACTTGGGTTAGGCTCGCCTCGAGGCGCGCGACCCAACCCCAGTGATCGTTTCCTCCATCTCTGCCTTACGCGCCGCCACGCACCACCTTCGTCCGCGCCTTCCTCCGCGCGTGAGCCTCACGCGCTGCCTTCCCGGTGGCTGTTTTGCTCCAGTCCACCTCTATCCGGCTCGCCTCGTCGCCCTGGTGCCAGATCTGCACTTTGTTTTGTGTTCTCTGTCACAAAACGTGGTGGGTCTGCGTTTTTTCTCTCTGCCGCTCTCGGTCCTCTCTCTGCTTCCATAGACAGCACGCTGGTCCTCTCTTGTTTCCTGAAAAATGTCAGGACCTGTGTCTGTATCTTTTTCTGGGACTCCGACTATAACCACAGAAAAATTAAATGGGAAAAATTATTTGTCTTGGGCTTCCTCTGTTGAGCTCTGGTTTTTAGGACAAGGAGTTCATGATCATCTAGAAGAAGATGGAAGTACTAAACCAGCAGATCAGACTCCTCAATGGAAGAAACTGGATTATCAACTTTGTGCACTATTATGGCAATCTGTTGAACCAAATATTTTAAGCATTCTTCGATCCTTCAAGACATGTAATTCTTTTTGGAAAAAAGGCCCAAAATATATTTGTTAACTATTGTTGAAAGTCCCACATCGCCTACCTCATATCATTTGGTATGGTTTAAATACATGTTAGGCTACTCCACATAGAGCCAATTGGTTTTATGTTGGAACCTTAACATGGTTGAAAGTCCCACATCGCCTACCTCATATCATTTGGTATGGTTTAAATACATGTTAGGCTACTCCACATATTGCCAATTGGTTTTATGTTGGAACCTTAACATGGTATCAGAGCCAAAGCCTAACATCTTTCCGGTTATTGTCATGGGTCAAAAGTTGCCCTTTAGTTGGGTCAAAAGTACCCTTTGCCTGGTCCGGCGGGCTTCGTTGGAGGGGGTGTGTTGAAAGTCCCACATCGCCTACCTCATATCATTTGGTATGGTTTAAATACATGTTAGGCTACTCCACATATTGCCAATTGGTTTTATGTTGGAACCTTAACACATGTTGAAAGTCCCACATCGCCTACCTCATATCATTTGGTATGGTTTAAATACATGTTAGGCTACTCCACATATTGCCAATTGGTTTTATGTTGGAACCTTAACATGGTATCAGAGCCAAAGCCTAACATCTTTCCGGTTATTGTCATGGGCCAAAAGTTGCCCTTTAGTTGGGTCAAAAGTACCCTTTGCCTGGTCCGGCGGGCTTCGTTGGAGGGGGTGTGTTGAAAGTCCCACATCGCCTACCTCATGTCATTTGGTATGGTTTAAATACATGTTAGGCTACTCCACATATTGCCAATTGGTTTTATGTTGGAACCTTAACATGGTATCAGAGCCAAAGCCTAACATCTTTCCGGTTATTGTCATGGGCCAAAAAGTTGCCCTTTAGTTGGGTCAAAAGTACCCTTTGCCTGGTCCCGCGGGCTTCGTTGGAGGGGGTGTGTTGAAAGTCCCACATCGCCTACCTCATATCATTTGGTATGGTTTAAATACATGTTAGGCTACTCCACATATTGCCAATTGGTTTTATGTTGGAACTTTAACAACTATATTCAACGACTTTATGATTCTGCTAATAGACTAGCCTCCCTTAAGCAAGAGGATAATTCCATGATGTCCTTTGTTGCTGGAAGCTCAATCAGTAGTTGAAGAATTAAAAATGTTTCTGGAGGCAGAATCATTAGAGGAAAGAAAGACGAAGCTGGATAAATTCTATATGATAATGATTTTTAGGGCTATGAATCCAGAATTTAATCATGTTAGAGACCAGATTCTAACTGGAGAAGAAGTTCCTTCTACGGAGAGTTTAATCACAAGGCTACTTCGTGTTCCTTCTATCAAAAGCAAAACCAGTCAGGAACTTGCTGATTCTTCTGCCATGATTTCTGCACGTGGAAGAGGTAATCACAGCAATAGAGGACGTGGTGGGAGAGGACGTCCTCAGTGCTCTCATTGCAAAAGAATGGGACATACTAAGGAAAATTGCTTTGCTCTGCACGACTTTCCTAATAAGGCAGCTAATACCTCAAAATCTGAAGTTGATGAGCCCAAGTTCTCTCATGAAGAGTATTAAGAATATTTAAGGATGAAATCAACCAATTTGGTTCAAGCATCTACAATACCAAATTCGTCAACCGCCTGCATTTCACAATCTGTGGAAAGTCAAAATCCGTGGATTATTGACTCAGGTGCTTCTAACCACATGTCTGGTAATACCTCTTTATTCTCCTCTCTTTCATTTCCTAAAACCTCCCATCTTATATCTTTAACTAATGGATCTAAAGTAGCTTCTAAAGGAATTGGTCAAGTATCCATCTCTTCTTCTTTAAACCTTCAAAATGTTCTTTGTATTCCTTCTTTTCCATTCAGTCTTGTTTCTGTAAGCCAATTAACCAAATCATTGAATTGCTCAGTAACCTTTAATGCCAATTGTTTTGTTATCCAGGAACGTGGTACGGGTCGACTGATTGGAGAAGGACATGAATCTGGAGGCTTATACTACCTTAGGACTAAGTCATCTGTATCTTGTGTTGCATCCTTATCCCCAAAATTGTTACATGAGCGATTAGGGCATCCTCATTTAGCAAAATTGAAAAAAAATGGTTCCTGAACTTCAAAACCTTCAAACTTTTGAATGTGAATCTTGTCAACTAGGGAAACATACTAGGTCTTCCTTTCCAAATCATTCTGAATCTGGATGCGATTTTGCTTTTAGTATTGTTCATTCAGATATATGGGGACCTAGTCGTGTTTCATCTTTTGGTTTTAGATATTTTGTTACTTTTATTGATGGGTTTTCTAGATGTACTTGGGTTTATCTTATGAAAGATTGTTCTGAACTATTGCCTATCTTTAAGTCTTTCCTTCATGAAATCAAAACTCAATTTGGAAAAGTAATCAAAGTTTTATGAAGTGATAATGCCAAAGAGTACTTTTCTAATGATTTTTCTAATGTCCTAAATTCTCAAGGTATTTTACACCAGTCCACGTGTCCTCACACACCACAGCAAGATGGTATAGCAAAACGAAAAAATAGACATTTGGTTGAAACTGCACGTACCTTATTGCTGGGTGCCAATATGCCTATTCATCATTGGGGAGATGCTATTCTAACTGCATGCTTTCTCATTAATAAAACACCATCTTCTTCTCTTGACAATAAAGTTCCACACTGTATTCTATTTCCAAAGGAACCAATTTTTCATGTTTCTCCTAGGGTATTTGGATGTATATGTTTTGTTCATAACATGTCTCCTGGCTTAGATAAACTCTCACCTAAAGCTATCAAATGTGTCTTCTTGGGGTATTCTTGTCTTCAAAAAGGATATCGGTGTTATTCTCCTGAAACCAAGAGGTACTACATGTCTGCTAATGTCACCTTTTTTGAATCATCCTCCTTCTTCCCTTATTCTATGCAGGATATTGATTCTGTCCAAAATGTTTTTCCTGTTCCCTTAGTTGAATCATTTGTACCTCCTATTCCTGACACCCCAAATCCCAACCAAAATACTCTAGACTCATCATCACAGCCTATCATCACCTATCAATGCAGGAACCAGGTGAACAATCCCATTCCCCAAGATGAGCCATCCATATCAGGTCCTTCTCCATCATCCTCTAATACCACGGCTCCTGATAACGATGACTCCAGTTGGCCCATTGCCATTCGCAAAGGTACTCGTTTTACTCGTAATCCTCATCCCATTTACAATTTTCTTAGTTATCATAGATTTTCTCCTTCCTATTGTTCTTTTATTTCCTCTGTATCCTCTATTACAATTCCCAAAAATGTGGTCGAAGCACTTGATCATCTTGGATGGCGACAAGCCATGATTTCTGAAATGCAGGCTCTTGATCACAGCAAAACATGAGAGTTTGTTCCTCTCCCTTCGGGAAAGAAAATAGTTGGTTGTCGTTGGATCTATGCTATTAAAGTTGGGCCCAATGATCAGGTTGATCGTCTCAAAGCCAGGTTAGTGGCTAAAGGGTACTCTCAAATATATGGACTTGATTATTGTGATACTTTTTCTCCTGCAGCCAAAATGACCACTGTCCGCCAGTTCCTTGCCATGGCCGCCATTCGTCATTGGCCTCTTCATCAATTGGATATTAAAAATGCCTTTTTGCACGGTGACTTAGAAGAAGAAGTTTACATGGAGCAACCTCCTGGATTTGTTGCTCAGGGGGAGTCTAGTTTGGTTTGTAAATTACGTCGATCCCTCTATGGCCTAAAATAGTCTCCACGTGCTTGGTTTGGAAAATTCAGTTCTATTGTTCAAGCTTTTGGATTAAAACGCAGCAAAGCAGATCAGTCAGTGTTTTATTGTCACACTGCCCCTGGCAAACATGTTTATTTAATTGTGTATGTTGATGATATTGTCATCACAGGGAATGATGTTGCTAAAATATCTCAGCTAAAAGAACACTTGTGTAGTCATTTTCAGACCAAGGATCTTGGATATCTAAAATATTTCTTGGGTATTGAAGTAGCTTAATCTAGAGAAGGTATTGTCATCTCTCAAAGGAAGTATGCTCTAGATATTCTAAAAGAGACAGGTATGATTGATTGCAAACCTGTGGACAGTCCTATGGATCCAAATTTGAAGTTAATGGCAGGATAGGGTGAAGTTTTCTCTGACCCAGAAAGATATAGAAGACTGGTTGAGAAACTTATTTATTTGACTATTATTAGACCTGATTTGTCTTTCGCAGTTGGTGTTGTCAGCCAATTTATGCAAGCTCCTTGTGTGGATCATTGGAATGCTATCATTCGAATCTTAAGATACATTAAAAAAGCTCCAGGACAAGGTTTATTATATGAAGATAAGGGAAATACCCAAATTTTTGGGTACTGTGATGCTGACTGGGTTGGATCTCCCATGGATAGGCGTTCCACTACAAGCTATTGTGTTTTCTTTGGAGGTAATATCATTTCATGGAAAAGCAAAAAGTAAAACGTTGTTGCCCGATCCTCTGCTGAAGCTGAATATAGAGCAATGACGTCTCTTACTTGTGAACTTGTTTGGGTAAAACAATTCTTGCTAGAATTGAACTTTTGTGAGATTCAATCTATGAAGATGTATTGTGATAATCAAATTGCTCTTCACATTGTTTCCAACCTAGTATTTCATGAGAGGACTAAGCATATTGAGATTGACTGTCACTTTATTCGGGAGAAGTTATTGACTAAAGAAATTTGTACTGAGTTTGTTGGTTCCAATGATCAGCTTGCAGATGCATTAACAAAATCTTTGAGAGGACCTCGAATGGAATTCATTTGTTCCAAGCTTGGTACATTCAATTTATATGCTCCAGCTTGAGGGGGAGTGTTGAAGTATTTATTAGATTAATTATATCTTGGTGGGCATTTATGAGATTAGTTGTAGACCTAGTTCCTAGAATGCATCTGTTTATCTTTTTTAGGATTAATCATGTCTCTATTAATTGTATCTCTGAATCTGTATTTTTATCTCCTATAAATAAGAGAACACAAGAAGATGATTTGAGACTCTCAAAATCAGTTCTTTATTTTCCTTTTTCTATTTCAAGTGTTTGAACTTTGGACAATGCACATTTAAGTATAAGAGGGAAACACTAGAGGGTAGGCTTTAAACTTGGAATGGAGAGAAGTAAGTCTCTAAAGTACGTGAGAGAGAGATAGAAAGTTTTGCTTCTGGTTGTGTGACTTCTAACATGGTATCTATTCACCCTATTTTTGGTCCACTTTTATTAAAAAATTACCTTGGACCAATGTGACAGAAGAAATCTACTGGTACTTCCAATTCTAAATTTGTAACAAATGATGGATTACCTTTTGGCTTTGAATCATTGAGCACAGATCAAGTTATCTGATATCAAGTTCAACTTGCTAGAGACTAATATTCTTGAACTCTTCAACCAGCATATTTCATTTTAATTCTTGTTTAGGTCAGACTGAAATGTTATCTTTGTGTATTCAGATACGGGAAGCTGACATCTCTCGACTCTCTTTTGCGGTTGAGCTTGCTGAAGAATTTTATGGGAGGTTTGCATCTTGATGAACTTTTTATTTGTTAATAATAATTTTATTTTGAATTATCAGCGTAATCTCCCTGTCCTTTTAATATTGCTTTGTAAAATCTCTTCGTTTGGGGGATAAATTATTCTTACTAACTTTAACTTGTTTCTTGAATTGCAAATTTTGCACGTCCTAAATTTGCAACTACGGTGCGTTGAACAGAGTGAAGGTAATCCAAGGCCTTAGCGTTGTTATTTAATTTACTTTTCTTTCTATATTTTTTAAATGTAAACTTTGTCATTGATAATTTGATTTATATTTGAATGTTTGGATCTTTTATAGGGTCAAGATGTTGCATTTGAACCTGCTAAACTCTTGTGGCTCATCCAACGTGATTTTTTGCGTAAGTTAAATTGAGACTTAGAATTGAGGGAAAAACTTGCTTGAGAGTGAGCGCTTTAGCCTTTCAATTATATATACACCACACAAGAGAGATCCCCAAAAATATGGAAAGAATCATATATAACCAAGAAAATATTATAAATATAATGGGTAAATAATAAAAGGAGATATTAACAGCGATCAACAAATATTCTAATATCTCAGTATTCTTAGCCTATATTAATCAAATTCACAATGAAACACGGTCCTAATCTCACTTAATCTACATAGAATCTCAACATGCCCTTTAAATTGGGCCATATAAGTCGCATACATCTAACTTTCTACTTATGTATAGCATTCCTTACCTGTGAAGAAACTAGTAGATTTAAGTTGATTATTGGAACCAACAAAAAATGTAATGATTTCTTTAGAAACAAATCTCTCATGAACAAAATGACAATTAATCTCAATTTGTTTTTTTGGCTTGTAAACAATAGGAATAGAAGCAATTTGCATGTACTTTGGCTTAAAATGGTAATTGCTTGGAAGGAGGTATAAATGTATAAACATTTTATCCTAACTGACATGGCTCAGATTCTAATGATTGCAAATGAGAAAGACGTTGGACCAGTGTATTCAACCTTTTGAGACTTGGGTGGCCTAAACAACAGTGAAGGAGACTTTGTTGTGCCACATGACTAAGATGGAAACTGAAGGTAGTGAAGTGTATGTGGCTCATATCTGAGCTAATTATATGCCCCATACTCTGGCCTTTTGTGAAAGCAAAGAATAAGTGAAGATTAATGGTGTGAGAATGATAATGAACAAAAATTAGATGAAAGTAAAACTAGATATAATGAGAATATAACCTAAACACAAAGTTTTAAGGAGGAATGGCTTGATCAATATCACTGACATTTTCTTTAGCACCATCTGCAAGTGTAATGATAAGATTTTTGGTTGAGAATTTTGAGAAAGGGGATTATCTACATGATTAGAAGCATAAGAGTCTTAAATCCAGGGAACAATAAACAGACAAATACATCGTACGAGAAAAATTGCAATAAGCATAGATCATATATAACCGGGGAAACATTTAATTACTAATATAATATACATATAACAAAAGAGAGTGTTAATATCAATTAATAAATAATTGAACATAATCTCGGAGTATATCAATCATGTCCACAACAAAATATCAGCGCCGGTCTCACATAATTTAGATAGAATCTAAACAAGTTAATTAATAATTTTGTTAGTTATCTCATGTCATTTATCCCTCTTTCTCCTAGTCTCCTAGGTTCCATCCCTTTCAATGCTTGAGTTGTAGGAATTGCATCTCTTGTTGCTGTACTTGTCAATTATTAGTGACATATTAAACCAGTCACAGGTCTTCACCTCATTCATTAAGCGTCATGAGGGTTGGTCCTTGACAGAATATTAGAGCTTTTGATTCAGCGGTCAAAAGTTTGATCCTTGCAATCTATTATTCTTACAAATATGATAAAATAGGCTTGTGCATTGACTGCTTCAAGCTCAAATTGCTCCCACGAGCAGCTAGTTATATGTGAATGGACAATAAATGTGATATTTTCCTCAATTGTCTGCAGAAGGGAAATCGGTGCAAGAAATGGTGAATGAAGCTCTGAGACGAGTCCCCAATACTGATGGTTTGTAGCAATTTTTTTTTTTATATTGTATCAGCTTTGCGTTTGTTTTAAAGTCAATGATCTGATGGAAGATTTTGTTACTACTTAATTGCAGGGAACAAAAATATTGACGTGGTATTTTATCTTCTTAAATTCAATTTCCAATCATCAGTAAAATAGTACTAGTCTGGAATTGAATATTTTTTGTTATACTAAAAGTCAACTCGATCAGGTCAATCAAATTCGAGATTCATTGGCTGTTATGGGCGACAACAGCACTGCCTTTAGCTTACCGCAAGTATGCCTGGCCCCTTTGTTCAAATTTTCTTTAATTCCTTACCCTTTCAACCCTAATTTGGTTTTCTTTATCTGGGTTTTGTTATATGGAACTTTGAGTGTAAATAAAATGGTATAAAGATGGATTTTATCGCAGTTGTTTGTTGATTGCCAAGGGAGAGTGAATGATATTAACTGTCATCGTAGCAACCCTATTGTATGTCATATATGTGTCAAAGGAAAATAACAATGCTTTTTAAGTTTATCGAACATTAACATGTTGCCTAGGTGGTTTCTTCAAGCCATCACAAAAAAAAAAAAATAGTGTCTTCTGCTGGAGGAGAGTGTCTACTTCTCATTTGACTGTCTTGATTTGGGATTAGAAGATAAAATTATAAATGCTATTAGCGTCAAAACTTGTCTTATTTGGCACAGAACCAATTTTTATCCCCATTGTGTTACTTGTCTCCTAACATAGTTCTGAAATGTATTTGAGGAACACCCACGGCAAGTGAAGCTAACTAGACATATAAAGTTGAGTTTTTTATTTGTATGGGTTTTTAACTGCTTTCTTTATTAAGATCGTGTCACTGGGAAAGACCCCTGACTTTTTTGGTCATGAAGAATGATATTTTAGTATTGGAAATTGGTTATTTCTGTCACATGAGTTCATGTTGTATTTCGATTAATATTTATCTGTAGTTTTCTTTGCATTTTTAATCCATCTGCATAGCATAATATTTGCCATGTATGTACTCATTTCCTGATGGAAAGTTTATCAATATTTAATGTAGTCTTCAATTTTTGTTAAAACCATTGTGTTATTATCTAATTATTGAAATTTGATGTTAACAGCCACATCTTCAGCGGACAAAGCTTTGTGATATGAAGGATGTGGAGCTCGATCAATTATATGTCAAGAGAAGGGAGCAATTGAAAAAGCTTGTTGCTAGCATAATCTCTCCGAAGATTGTACAGGGAAAGACACTAACTGGAAAGGAGTTCGTCTCCTTTCTGGAGCAGGTACTTAATTTTGGATATTCCTATTTGAGGAGGCAGTAATTAAAAACTAATCATAGTTGTGGATGGGGTGAATTATCGAAACAGTTACACACAGGGTAGACGTTTCTTTTAATAGTAATCATGGGGAACCCCTACAGAACATTCTGCATATTCTCCGATCTCGTAATTATTGTACAATAAAATCAGCAGATCAATTACGTAGAACAAAGGATAGCTGAATCTGTAATAGACTTAGTGCTTTACTTCACTTTATATCCTTTATCTAATTGTTGGTTTTTTTTGAAAAGGAGAATAGATAAACTCGTAAGCAGTTGTGCTTCTGAATTTTTTTAATTTGTCACTTTCTCTTATAAGAATTTTCTTTTGTGACAATTTCACTCGTCAGTTCACTAAAGATGCCCTAATGATTAAATAAAGTAATGCTTTTGATGTGACTTCATTCTGTGAATCTCAATTAGAACACTGATTTTGACCTTTCATATTTAGATACTTGAAGCCTTGAACAAAGGAGAAATTCCATCGACAGGCTCTCTGGTGGAGGTTTTCAATAAGAATATTCTTGAGAAATGTCTGAAGCTATACAGTGAAAAGATGGCAACATTAGTTCTACCTCTTCCTGAGGAATCTCTGCAGGGGGCCCATGATAGGACTAGAGATGAAATCATGCATGTTTTTGATCAGCAGCATTTTGGTCGTCACCATGCTAAGAAATCAGTTATGCAGCTGGATGAAGAAATACGACAGGTATTGTTTGAATTTATCCTTGGTTTTGTGTGAATGCAGTTAGCAATTATATTAGCAAAAACAAGTTCAGAGGTTTTCTCCATCAAATATATTTTATGTTTTTAATTTTAAAAGGTTCTTTGCAAAATTAAGAGTGAATTTAATAAATAAATTCTCTTTACCGGTATTTGATATATTTGGTGGATCCTGTATATGGTCGATGGAGTTTTCAATCAATCAGATTGAGCAGCATGTCTGTCTGGAAAATAACTAAGACCATGTGGCGGTTGATTGAATCTTATCGTGGGGTGCACAATGGGAGAGTCAGAACAGTGAGATTGTGAGAAATTTTGCATGAACCTATTAAAATATACCATATTAGGATTATATTTGCTGATTTGTTGATCTTTGTTTGGACGTTTCCTCTGCTCTTCCCTGGTCCTGGAAGTTGAATCTTCCGATTTAAACTTATAATTTATTGGGGAAAATTATGCAGGTGTACAAGAATTTTGTTTTGCAAAACGAGTTTCAATCTTCAAAGCTCTGTGAGGGACTGTACACCAGGTGTGAGGACAGAATGGATCAGCTTCAAGTTCTCAAGCTTCCTTCCTTGGCAAAATTTAATGCAGGTTTCCTGCAATGCAATCATAGTTTTGAGCACGAATGTGTTGGACCTTCAAAAGCAAATTATGAGCAACGCATGATGAAGGTCTGGTACAATTAACGGTGTTTTTTTTATTCTTCTAATTTATTACCTTTTTTTGAATTTACTTGAACATTGGAGTTCACGGTGCCTTATCTCGGTACATAGAAATAATTAATTTCATATTCACGTGTCTGTCTGTAGTTCTCTATTACTTTGTGGGGCTTATTGTTTGTTCTTGTTACCTTTTGTATTTACTTGAACATTGGAGTGCACAGCGCCTCATCTCAGTACATATAGATAATTAGTTCATATTTCATGTGTCTGTCTGTGTCTCTCTATTCTTAGTGTAGGTGTGACAGTATTCCTTATATATTTTAAGTTGACCTTTTTGGCCATATTTTAACATTGAAACTGGAACTATTTCAATTCTCCATGGATTAACTAAATTTTGCTAATTCATAATTTTCCTGAATTTGGTTCAAATTCTTAATGTTCTTTGTTGTAACTAATGGCAATGCAGATGTTGGGGAAGTCTCGGTCTCTGTTTATAAAGGAATACAACCACAGACTCTTCAATTGGTTGGTGGCCTTCTCCTTAGTTATGGTAGTCATTGGCCGCTTTTTTATAAAATTCATTTTGATTGAAATTGGAGCATGGGCACTCTTTATATTTCTGGAGACATACACAAGAATGTTTTGGTCAGCAGAGGCACTTTACTATAACCCAGTTTGGCATTTTATAGTTGCAACCTGGGAAACTGTTGTTTACAGCCCTGTTCTGGATCTTGACAGGTAATTTGAACCTTTTCCTTTGGCACTTTGAATTGAATTTATGTCAAAACCCTTGAATCAGTTGGTATTAAAAATTCGTTTTAGATATAATTGGTTGGTATTGTTACAGTTGGTTTTAAATTTCTGCATTTGATTCGTGTGTCTTACATAATGACATGTTGAAAGCGTTACCAAGGAGTGATAAAAAGCTTGTAAATGCGTTAGTTTCACTTTTTCTTTTGTCTGACTTTATAAAATTCTGTTTATAATCTGTTCCATGTTTGTTTTTAATCATGAACACTTGTCACTATCTTGTTTAGGTATGAGCAGTTATGAGATTTCAATACTGATACATTATACTTTTGGTGATAAAAACAGATGGGCTATTCCCCTCGGTGCAGTCCTGTCATTGTTTATTCTTTATTGGCGGTGTTATGGGAGAAGGAAATATGGTTCCCAGTGGCTATTACCTTTATACAGAACCAATAAAAATGGTTCTAATCGACAACGAACAGACTAAATCTGTGATGATGGTTGCAGTTGTCGGCTTGTTTCAAGAGTTTGGCATGCTGCTCCGCAATTGTCCCAAATGGCGAGCTTTTTATTTAATTTTTAACTGGAGCTCGCTGGCCCCTTCATCTTGATAAGGTTCTTCCGCTGAGTGTAAAAAGGTGAACAGAGGGTGACTGACCTCTAAAGTAGCTTCTACAACTTTAGGCCCTCAAAGATGTTCTTTGTTGCCACAATGGCACTATATTGAATTTTATTTGTGTATTATTTCACAATTACTTATATAGGATTGTAGAGTAAATTAAATGTTATATACCTTGCTGTGCCACAATCATGTGTGGACGTGTAAACTGGTAAATTTAAAGAAGGGAAAAATGTTGATTCTTTTTTATTGTTTCCACTGGTGAATTAGCTATTCCTTATACAACAACTAAGTTTTGGCATAGGTGAGGACTATATAAGAATAAATCATATTGAGTATCAGTGATTTCGCCAACTAAGGGTGTTAATCCTTTTATTTTGACGGGTTCTAGAAATTATATAATTATCTATTTGACATGAAAGTTGGGACTCCATTAAAGGATAAGGTTTGACATAGTGTTTGGGCAATTTTGATCCACCAATTGTTAATTGGGGGATTTCATTCTTAATATGTCTTTTAGACAAGTACTACATCAATTTCAGGTGCATTTGAGGAATACTTTCCAGAGCCAAACTTAAAGGTCAATTGATCATACCTCATGGAGGATTATGCTTCACTTGAGAAGGTTAAAGACATTTCTACTTCAATGATTTACCTTTTTTTTAAGAAAAAAAAAATACATTTTACTATAGGGATCAAGGTTTCGCTTTCTATTTCCTAAAGACACCTTACGTTGATGTACTTGCCCAGTTATATTATCACCTATATACAACCATGTAAAAAAGAAAGCTTCCAAAAATTATAAAGATTTATATTTTAATCATATATTCCTTTTAGTATCGCAGCATAGAAAGTCAAGATTATATATATTCAAAAGAATGTAAATAAATCAATCCAATCAAATGACCATGTTTAGAAAAAAAAAAAAATTACAAATAATGATATTGAAATTTGTACGGTTTAGAATATTTCCCCCTTTCACCATTTAACATTTGTTCAATTAATTGGATGTTACTTTTGCATCTTTAAAGATTAATTACGGATTTGTAAATAAATAGTTAAAGAATTTCATATATTATTTTATATGATTTAAATATAATTCATACCTGTAATTATATGACTGATTATTGTCAAATACAACCACTTAAATAATGAAATATATCATAGAGTATATTTGTGATTTAATTTTATATCATGGTGGAAAAATAACATTGAAAATTGTTAGTGGAAAGGGATAAAATGAATATCGAGAAATAGTACAATGAAAGAAAATTATATTCGATATAAAAATTGAATTATATAATTGTCCTCAAAAATATTGTAGAGATAGTGTTTTTAATATTCAAGTATTTTCTTAATTTGTCAACTCTTTGATTATTCAAAGGCTTAGTCATAATATCTGTCAGTTGCTCTTTCGTGTCACAGTGCTCAAGGCTCAACTTCTTCCTCCTTATTTCATCTCTAATGAAAAATAATCTCAATTTAATATGTTTACTTCTCCCATGATGAATTGAATTTTTCGCTAAATTTATGGTTGACTTATTATCAATCTTTAGTGTCGTAATCTTCTCTAATCTTACAAGGGCTCGATTCACCAAATTCTCGATCTATAGTACTTTACAAGTTGTATAAGCAACAACCATATATTCAACTTCACAAGAGGAGAGTGTCACAATAGGTTGTAACTTCGAGCACTATGAAATCAGTAATTTTCCCAATAAGAAACATAATTTGATGTGCTTCTGAAATAAACTTTATCTCCAATCTAGTTAGAATTAGAATATCCAACCAACTCTTCTCCATTCTAATGTGTAGCATTTGGTAATAGAATACTAAAATCAATTGTCCCTTTAATATACCTCAAAACTCTCTTAATTAGTTGTTACAATATGAGATGTTTTGGGTTTGTCCATAAATCTACTCAACAACTCAATACCAAAGCAGATATCCGGTCTACCACAACACAAGTATCTTAAGCACCCAACCATCTATTTGTAAATTGTAGCATTTATAGGCTTCCCATCTTCATCTTTGTCAAGCTTCAAATTTGTTTCATCTAGTGTAATCGTCGCATTGCACTCACTCATACTAAATTTCATAAGTACTTCTTTAGCATATTTACTTTGGTGAATCAAAACACATTTTTTGCCTTCGATGAATTCTATTCCTAGAAAATATGATAACTTTCCTAGATCGATCATCTCAAACTGATATTGCATTCTCCTTTTAAAATTATCGATCAAAGTAATTTTACTTGAAATCAATAAATCATCAACATATAAACAATTAACATATCATCTCCTTCGATCTTCGAGTAAATCCCATACTCGACTTCAAACTTAAAGAATCTTTATTGTTGAAGACAATCATCGATTTCAATGTTCCAGGCTCTTGGGGTCTGTTTCAAGTCATACAATGCCTTCTTCAATCTAAGAACCTTTTGTTCTTCTCCAGTAATCACAAATCCTTATGTTGTGTAATATAAATTTCTTCCTCCAATTCATAATTCAAAAATGCAAATTTTACATCCATTTAAATCATTTACCACCCTTTATAGCTAGCGAGAGCTACCACTGTTCTTATCGTCTCCATCATAGCAACAGGTGCATACACTTCTTTGTAATCTAATCCTTCTCTCTGTAGAAAGTCTTTCACCACAAGTTTGGCTTTAAATCTTGCAACTATTCTGTCCGATTTTAAATTCGTCTTGTACATCTATTTTGCTTCAATTGGCCTTTGATTATCTGGGAGATAAGTTAATTTCCATGTTTTATTCTTCTCAATTGTCAATAGCTATTCTTCATGGCTTCGATCCACTTGGGATCCTTGATTGCTTCATAAAAGCAAACTGGTTCAGTCTCAATGTCAACATACAAGGCTAAATGCAGAAGATCATTCTCATTCTCCATTTCTCCAATCATTTGTCCAATTGATGTAATAAAATCATCAGTATTGATTATATAATCATCAAATCTAGTTGATGTCTTAATCAATCTAATTGGTCGATTTCTCCTTCCTTCGATTTCAGAAATTGATCGATTTCTTCCTCCTCTTTCGATTTTGAGAATTAATCGATTTTCTCCTCTTTTGACACTAGAAATCAATCGAACTTTGCCTTCGATTTTTGTATCACCTGAGTCATCGAAGCTAACACTTCAATTTTCTACCATCGAACACCATTTCCAACAATCTTTCTCATCTACCACATCTCTACTAATGGTAATCTACTTCTTGATAGGATCACACAACTTATATGTACCAATTGCATGATATCCTACCAAAATCAACTTCTGACTTCTATCATCGAGCTTCATCCTCTTCTCATTTGGAAAATATCTCCAAGTAATCAAACCGAATACTTTCAAATGCTTTATATTTGGCTTTCTCTCAGACCATACTTCTTCTGAAGTTTTCTCCATTACTCTCTTTGTTGGACATCGATTCAAGATGTATACAACTGTGAATACTACTTCTCCCCAAAATGAATGTGGCAAGCCTTTGATTTTCAACATACTTTTGACCATATTTAAAATCATTTAATTTCTTCTTTCCATAACTCCATTGTGTTATGGTGTGTACGAGGAGACTATCTCATGCATAATGCCTTCCTTATTGCAAAATGATGCAAACTCACCATTATTGTACTCACCACCACTGTTCGATCTCAATACTTTGATAGCTCTACCACTTTGTTTCTCAACCATCGATTTAAAATTGACAAAGCGACTAAACACTCCTAACTTATTCTCGAGCAAGTAAACTCACATCTTCTTGCTATAATCATCGATGAACATCACAAAATACCTGTTTCCACCTAGTGAAGAAATAGTAAAGGGTCCACACACATCGGTGTAGATAATTTCCAACACATCCTTGCTTTTGGTCTCGATGCACACCTTAAAAGGATTTCTGGCTTGTTTCCCTATTAACTAGCCTTCATATATGTCTTTACCTTTTTTGGACTCGAGGCAATCTAATCACCATCTCCTTTTCTCCAAGGTGGCTTAAACTATTGAAGCCAAGATGACCAAACCTTAAATACCACAACCAATTGTCATTCGATACTGTTGCTGCAAAAAACAAGTTATTCAATATTGAAATATTGGCTCAAAAAACTCTGTTCTTACTCAGAGGTACCTACAAAATTGATATCTCATTCTTATTGAGGATTATCAACACTTGCTCCCTCGATCTCAAATCGATCAAATACCTTTTTTGAAGTAGTTGTCCGATACTCAATAAATTGTGCTTTATGGCTGACACATAAAACACATCCAAAATTATTGTAGATTTGACATCTCTTCTTTTGATTATGATTTTACCTTTTATTTTACAATTCACTATGGAATTATCTGCAAATTTTATCTTTGACTTCACATTTTCATCTATATCGACGAACCAACTCTTTTGAAATGATATGTGATTCGAGCAACCAATATCCAAATACCAAGATTCACCAAAGTCTTCACTGGTTTCGTTGTGATCACCATTAATAACACTTCATCCTCTGATTCTTCCTTTTGTACAAAATTTACTTATTCTTCTTTGCTCCAACGGTCAGTAGCATAATAACCATATTTGTAACAATAGTAACATTGTACATTTTTCTTGCTCGCACTAGAGCCTAATTGACCACCTCTCCATTTTGAGTTTTTTCCCTCTACCACCTCTCGATTATGAAAAGCTCTCATGTTTCTCTTCTAAGCCTCGTCCACCATTATTTCTACTTTTTCCTTTTCCTTGACCTCTCTTGTTCAATTTCCTTAATTCTTCTAGTTTTGTTTTGCCAATAATGTTTGTTCTGTGTTGGACTTTTCTTCTGCTCTCTCATGTAATCGTTGTTCGTGGGCCTCCAATGATTATTGTAG